CCAGAATCCACCAGAATCCCACTGTGATGTCACAAGGAGAGCAAATTTGAAACGGAGCATTTTTCTCTGTGTTGTAAGACTTATGCAGACCACAAACAAAGGACTGGGTGGATTTATTTCACATTTTGTCTGTCGGTAGACACTCAGGTTACCCAATTATATGTTCAAAAACATACGTCAAAAAAGTGGATTTTTCATAATATGTCCCCTTTAAGCCTCCTGGCAAACAGCTACAATGCGGCCGCCTGTAAGTCAACTAAGCCACGCCTCTAACCATAACTCTTATCCCTCTTAATTTAAAACACGAGTTATATGAATTAATCCATTTTTGCTGTCAGCTTCAAGTGGACACTCGAGAACTGCTGTTTTTGTCAATTCCACATTAGCTTCATTTTAAAACACTGCGGTTCCAGTTTGGTTAAAGGTGTGTACATAAAACACTTTTTTGCATTCCTTGTGATCTTTTTCAATGTTCATTTCACAATGATTATGACAGTAGGATAAATTGTGCCGCCCTAGTTTTAACCTGGCACTCAAATACATTTTTCTACATACTACCTTGATCCCCTTCCATACATTTGACTTCAGAAGAGATCGTATCTACTCACAGGCTGCAGGTCGTTCATGCTGTTGGGCAGTTCTCTCAGAGTGAGCAGCAGGTCCAGTTGTGTGCTCAGATGGGGGATGTTGCACATCTGTAACAGAAGGGGGGAAAGATGTAAGTCTATTAGCCCTTTACATAAAGAGAGAATGTAATAATCGCATCAAGTCGCCTATTTCCGAGAGATTGTATAGATTTATGTGATAAGACTGGTGGTAAAGTTGTTGGATGGCTGCGGCTCATTCTCACAGGCTCAAGTTCTGTGTTGAGATTACCTCAGGCGAAAAGAGGAGTGCTGCAGGCCTGTCGACAGGCTGATTTAATAGAGAAACTGAAGGCTTGACACCCTGAAACGATTGGCTGAGCTGCCTAGTCGACCTTTGAGTCTGTGCTAACCTCTAATAAATCACTCCACATTGTCAGACAGTCCCGCACACGCTCAGGTACTGTCTCCTAGAAGCCAAAGGGCAGATAGTCTGAAAGATGGTCGGGAAAGATATTAGGATAAGTGTAAGAAATAAAGAACATATAGTCATTTTGTTTGTTTGTTTGGGGGTGAACTCAGAATGTGTCTTCCTCCTTCCCTGCTCCTCGTCTTGTCACATTTTTCTGGCACATGTGTTAACATATCACATCGACTCTCTGCCAAGGTAGCGCTGGGATAATTAAAATCCTCCTGGAATTAACTTGTTCTAACATTAGTCAGCAAACACACTCTCGGGTAGTTTGCCGACTTTGTCTCAGATCCATAACTCGAACTCTCGTCTTCACCAAATTGGAAGAGTAAAAAAGGAAGGCTCTCTCGTAGGATTTGTTCTTTGGCTTTAATCTCCAAGTGAAGCATACAAAGCCTGATTTAGGAACATGCAGCAACCTATTTGCAGTGCAGTGCAAAGCATGATTAGGATTTGTTTCATCTTTGGGGAAAGGTCAGCGCTTCAAGGCTAATATGTCGATAAGTCTCTTTATAGGTAGATAAATAGTTTGCAGATGACACTCTTGTGTCCACCATAGACATGCTAAATGAAAAGAAATCATCCTGAACTATGTGACAGAACATTTGAACATTTTTCTGATTTAAAGGAAAACAAGAGCAGACGGCAATCGGCCTCATTCGTCTATATCTTCCTAGGATTTTTCTTAGATTTGTTCTTAAGAAGATCCGGAGAAAAGTCTTAAGGCCAATTCTTGAAGCTGTTATCAAACAGCAGAATTTTCCCCACCTGTGTTCAGAAATTGATTAATGCCATGTCCTTGTAAACTTTGAAGCTAGAGAAACGCTCTTTCAATGCCTATATAAGGGCATGAGACTATGTGGTGGTGTGCACACACTGTAATCACACAGGATTTGTTGTAAGCTACTGTAACAAATACAAGATAAGAAAACTTTTGGTTGGGATGTTAAAAGCTTCTTGAAAACTGCGTAAAAAACATATTAAGAACAGTTGGTGAATGAGGCCCATTAGTCTGTAAGACCAACTTCCACTCGTCGTAGCCTCGGGTTAAAAACACATGCTGGTAACATGATGGAGAAAAGCATCACATGGAGGAAACAATTAACTCTAACCCATAACGATGTTTTAAAATGTGAAACTAGGATGATTCATAACGTGTGTGTCAGCGTTTTCCTTTTTCCTTTTTTATTTATAAATTAACAGCTTTAAGGGGGCAGGATGAGTTGAATATGTGAAAATTGCAGAACATTATATTTTGAAAAAAAAAAACATGGAAAGCAGTCAGCAATCACCTCTAATCCCAGGATGTTCAGCTGATGCCATTTCACTTTCTATTAAGTGCGATGCTTAAATACCTGCATTAGTTGGCATCCATTAAGAGGAGTTATTATGTGATGATTATCTATTTAGAAGCATTCAGGCTGACTGTAATCTACCACTGAAATGTGTGCCCCCAGAAGGACCTGAGGATGTCTCTTGCATGTTAAACCTCTTATGTCTGGAGTCTAATACGCCTGCAATGCATTTCATCAGTGCACCCCTCCCACCCTCCTGCAGTTTGTAGCTGAGCACACATGATGACTGCCAGCCATGCGGTAAGGTGATAACCAGATGAATGCATAGAGCTTGTCACAACATCCACAGTGTGTGAACGAGGTGGCAGGTGCAAGAGTTGACAAGCCCTCCTAAAGAAAGTGCATCACATGGAGACGCTGGCTCGGGTCATGGTGTTAGATCCAAATCCCAAAGAAAATCACAATTTTTAAATCTGTTAGTTATAATGAAGGGTCATATGAGGAACTGAAAACTGTACCTCCATCATGAACTGGTCCACAATATGCAGCTCTGATACAGGTCCTTTGTGGGATTTGTATTTTTCCACATCATCCATGGTAGGGACATACCTTAATGAGGAAAATGAACAGAACAATATCACTGTTTTTGTGCGAATGTGTGATGTTTTTAACACTTCAAAGGGACATATTGCAGATTTCAAACCTTTTCATCCACCCCTGATAGATATATGGGGTGTGCGATATTACCACCAGGCCACCGTCGCTCCAGTTAAGTGTGTTTCTGTTAGCAGAAGCACAGTGACATTATCATCGTCATGTACTATTTTGGCTTCACCTTTGTACAATGGAAGGAAGTTGAGGAGTGCCGTCCATCTTTATATACTGTCTTCGGTCAAAGCTACGTTTGTTTGATGAAATTTTAATGAACGTGAATGAGTCCATACGCAAAACATCAGTGATTTTTTTTTTCTCCAACACAAAAAAATACATAAAAAAGAGAACATATGAACAGACTCAGATCGAGTTTAAAAATGTATGTCAAATTGAGAATGTTTGTCTATTTCTATCAGACGCACTCTCATTTTGACCTTTGCCTCTTCATGTCATCATATTCTTTAGCTCCCCCTCCACCCACAGACATGTGCTATTACATTGATTTCCAGCAGTCGAGAGAAAGTTAAGTGATTAAAAGCCAAGTAGTGCTGATGCTCTTTGTCAACTCCTATATGCCGCGAGACGCTGATGGAAACAGCCATTTACTCGATCTGAACCCCGCTTGTCTTAAAGTGGACCTCCTCTAACTGAAGGCACATTCACTTTTTCATGAGCCGCTCTATGTGCCACTAGAGGAGCACCGGTCATTAATATTACAGCACCAGCAGGGAGTGGTTCCTTCAAGATTGTATTCCTCGGGCCTACGCCACAGCCCATTAAAATATATATTACGTTTTTCTTAGAATAAATAAAAAAACCTTCCACACAGTACATTAGATCACTCGCCTTCCAGGAGGTCAGCATCCAGAGTAGCTGAGTAAACTACAGGTACGATTCAGGAAGCATTTCACCCACTTCCAGTCATATATTCCTGAGGGCATGTCAATAGTTTCCATCTCCGCAAATAAACCAGAGATAAAACTTTTATTAGTAAAGCTGCTCTGGTAAAAGGTTCTGGCATCTGCTCTTTAGTATTAAAACTCTGGGAAGGCCTGGAGTGCAAAACGTGTGTTTTTCTCACAAGAACTGGCATTGGTTCAAACTGTTTTCTCACATAAGACCGTATAAATAATGGACTTATCCTCTGTGACATCACCTGCTGGTAGGTCAACTGCAACTTTTGAGGACTCAAGTTGCGGGCTGCTTATGGGTTAGCGAATGCGGTGGGATTAAAACGTGGTCTGTGCCTGTGGCTAATTCAATATCTTGCAAATCAGCTAGTCAACCAACATGATTCTGGAAGAAAGAGTTTATTTCCTAGATGAAGAATGAGTCCTGGAGAAACAGGTTAAAGCCAAACAACAACTTTCAGTGTTGAAAAATGAAGCCAATGAGGAATCGTAAACACTGCAGTTCCTGGAGTGTCCACTTGAGGCAGGCTGCTAATCCTTAACTCTAACCCTGCAGGTCCCTTTAATACCCATATTAAAATGCTGATTTTGACAGCAGGATTAACCATGTTTACAGCCTTGTTTTAAAAGAGTTTGGATCTGAATAGCTCACATCTTTTTGAGCACACACTCTATGGGGGGTGAATGTTTTTATTGCTCATCTGTTTTGATTATAAAGTGTTAGAGTCAGTCTTGTTTTTTGGGATTACAATGCTGTTTTTCGCTGTGATAATGAGTTTATTCCAGGCTGTGTCTTGACATCTTGAGAAATAAACTCATTATCTTGAGATAACAACATAAGTAAGGCGAGATCTCAAAAAACAACCAGACATTTCTCTATATCACGGGAAAATTTAGTAAATATAAATGTATTTATGAATGTCCATACGGGCTTCAAATGATTGACTTGTTAGACGGTCTTTGAGTATAATTAAGTGCACAACAAGCCATAATATTAGTCCAGAATGTTTTTCTTTAATGATCCCCAAAAGACACAAACAACTCAAACACATAAACGTGTTTAGTGAATGAATTAGCTGAAGTGAGGTAGCAGCATCGAGTCGTTCATCAAAAACGCAATGTCCCTAATTACTACTCGTAACATAACTCTAAGCCTATAGCAATAAGCTAAGACACCAGGAGTGTTTTGTACCAGGCTTGTTTAATTCTTCATCATTTTGAGAAAGGAGCCAGCCTCAAGTGGCCACAGAGGGAAATGCAGCTTTTCCTCTTCTACGTTGGCTTCATTTCCAGCCCTGGAGCTTACTTATTTTTATGTTTCTCTTCTTCCTTTCAGTAACATGCAGCCTAATACATTTGTTTTTGCTCTTCTGTTTGCTTGTTACCAGAGATGATATGCCTGCCAACAGAAACACACATCAACCGCCCATGGCACACAAAGTCATTCACCTCTCAGCTTCAGTTGTGACACTATTAGGAGTGAATACAAATCAGCTGCTTTTGGCACAAAGTCGTACCTCCTCAGAGAGGTGATGTGCTCATCAGACAGGCCTCCGTCTTCCTCGCTAACGATGAACAGTTTGTCCTTCAGCTCTCCCGGCTGCACCGGGAAACTTTTGAGGAAAATGTCTAGAAGAACAATAGATTAGAAAAAAGTCAAAAACATGCAATAGTACATGAAAGCTTTTCTCTTGACAGATCGTCTTCTCATCCTGCCATGAAATGACAAAAAAAAAAAGCATTGTGAAGACAAAGGGTCCTTTGCTTAATTACTTTCCCCATATGCCTGAGGGAGATGCACAAATTTGCATTCTATCAAGTGAAAGCTGATGTGATTTTTTTTGCTTTACAGGAAATGTCTCTGCATAAATCAGGAGCTGTGAGAAGCCTTCATTAGAAGCCAGGAATTGAAGACATGTCTGTGAAATACAGGGTGAGTTTTGCAAAAACACATTTTAGTTGTTGGTGCCAGTCAGACCCACTGAGGCATCGATCTGAAAGTGTCACATTCTTTAAGAAAAATAGAAGAACCACTTTATTTATCGCTTAATTGAAATGTATCCTTTCAGTCCGTGAAGTAATGTTGACACACAGAAACATAAACACAGGGAGCTATTGTGGAGGAATGTTGAAGATGTGAGGTGCTCACAGGTGGAGGTGAACCGGCAACTCTCAAGCTACCAGTTCACCTCCACATCAGCTGTCCCTAAAACCAAACCTCTATACACTGAGGTACTCTCTATACGCTGAGAGGTTGTCAACTTCAGGTCGAAACTTTTGGAGCCTTGTTCTTCTGCCCTGCGAGTTCTGGCCCAGGAAAGATTTCTAAATTTAATCTGAGCTCTTCTGTCATGTCATGTAGGCAGACTCCTCTTTTAAAAATGTCTTCTTTTTTTTTTTAAATAAGTCTTCTTGTCAAATGTTGGCTGAGAAGAAAGAAACCACTGCCTGGTAAAATTTTAATCTTCAACGAGGAGAGGTTAGCTGTTAGCTTAGCATAAAGAATGGAAACTGATTGAAACAGCAAGCATGGTCTTTTCCAAAAGTCGCAAAATCTACATGTCTCCATGTTTTATTATCGCTATAACTAACTTCTATTTTATCTAATTTTTTACCATTTGTCTTTTTTGTGTACGGATTAAAATAAGTCAGTGAGCTTTTGTCTGGAGCCCAGCGAGGCTCGAGTGAGAATAGATAGAAAGCCGTTTGTAAATCCATTCCCACGGATTACAAATCTGTGCGCAAGATTTATAATCTATGCCAACAAATTTATAAACTCACAGATTTTTAAACCCTTGAAACAGATTTGAAATTGGCGTTTTACTTTATTCTTGTGACATCCTTGTTTATGTTAAATATCTAAAAAAACAACAACTGCCAATTACATGGGTCGTACTGCGCCTACCTTCTCATATAGAGAGGCTAACATCATGCTGTATATTTGTACCGGGTGCAGTTTTATTACCGATGTTTCATGAGTACAAAAAAACAGTTCTTTAGCTTGGTATTGGTATCAGTACATCTCTGCACTCTTTGCTTCTCAAGTTGCTATATGACAGTAAACAAAGGCTGGACTCCATTCATTGCTAACTGGCGGCTACACGAGAGTTAGCAGCTGTCTCCAGGAGGCTATAACATCTTTGATGATAGCCTGTCGACGCGGGCAGTAACACAAAGGTGAGCTTCCTTTTTGCAACTTTTTGGTGTAGTTCAAACATCACTGAGTAGATCATGTGGGAGTTGGAGCTCATAAATGCTGGCAGCACTTACTGAAATTAGCTTTTAAGTGACAGCAAACAGGCTGTAGGAGTAGATACACGTTAGCATTGACTACACTGTCTCCAGTTTCAGTTGAATAATAACGAGCAAACCAGTATACGCTGTTACAGACGGCCTTGCTGCAAAACTTATATTTATATAACTTATAGTTATATTTGGAGGAGTAGCAGCGATGGTTTAGGTATCGGTTTTTGGTCTGTGTTTCTGTCATATCGAAGTTAAGATGTAGATAATCACACAAGAATACATCTTAGTTTACAGCTTGACTCTCAATCTGAACTGAAATGTCCTCAAACTATCCCTTTAACTGTCTGTAAAAGTTCACTCTCAGGATCTGAGCCTAATTGTTCTCTTACTCAATGGTATCATCAACCTGATTGTCAAAGTGAATAAAATAATCATGCTAAATGAGAAGCATTTTGGAGAAACAAAGCTGTAATCAGCACGTCTCTAAATCCTTGACATTAAAGCTTGGAGACAGTAATTCCCCTCACCAGGACCAACAGAGACGTTCGTGTCACATTTCCAAATGAGGAGCCACAACATCAAACATCCAAATAATGTCGAGCGCTGCTGCTAGTGTCCTCAAGAGTGAGGGATTGGCTTCAGACACACACAGAAAAAGAAAACTGCATTTCAGGCCTCTGCTGATTGGCACTCAGACAAACTGGGCACTGCCCGGGCAAATTAGAGTTTGGAAACGGTGAGTGATCCCACTGAGCGCATGAAGCCACAGGTGTACTTTTAATTAGGAGTGTGACATTTCCAGTCATTAAATAGGCAGCATGCACCGAGGGCTCTCAAGGTAAATAACCATATTACTCGGACACAGAAATGCACTTTGATCGTACAAAACCACAACGGAGCTCACCCAGTGGAGGAGATACTGAGCTACTTTCTGAAGTACTGTACTTGACATCTTGTACCTTGAACTTCTGGACTAAATTAAAGTTCCGATGCGCCACACTGCAGATGGAAAAGATGTATTTTATAATCCAGTACAGTGATTTTTTTTAACCTCTTTATTAACTTTGAAGAGGATTTTACATGAAGTCGTGATGGCTGTGTTTGGCATGATGTGAACCTCAACAAAAAACAAGAATGTTACAGTTTAAACTGCCTCATTGCTGTCATCTTCAATAATTGTTTTCAGCCTGGAGAGGTGATATATCTTAAGTCTGAAAATTGACAGCAAAAAAGCAAATTTGTGCAGCAGAACTTTATCTTCTCTTCTCTCTTGCAGCATGGCTAATTTGAAAGTTGTTTTGGGGTTGTATGTGCATTATGCAGAAACCAAAACTTATTTTCATTCTCTCCTTTTGTTGTGCTTTTAAGTGGGAGAATTAACCAGTTATTTTCAGCTTTACTCTCACTGGTCCAGCTGAATTATCTCAGTCTCTTCCACCTCTGTGATGAATTTCCATTATTACTAGTTTAGCATTATTTTTCATTATTACTAGTTAAGCATTATTCTGACCTTTAGAACCATCTCTGTTCAAGGTCTTTGTTCATTTTCCAAACAGTGCTCCATTAAATGAGACTACTGGGAGTTAGAAGCAGATTTGAATATTTATTTTTTTGCTGCATGAATCATCTCACAACCCTTTCAAACAAACAGCTGTTATACACGCAGTTAAAAACCTGCTCCACTGTGCAGCTACAACAGTGAAGCTCATGCATTGAAGCATCAGTGTAAACAAACTAATACGACCAATAACATCAGCCCACTCGTACGTATTTCCGCAAACTCGAATTATCCTGTACTTTAACTTAAGGGGTATTCTGAAAAGGGTTTTCTCCTCTTGACTAGACAACAGTGCATAGTTTGCAGTCTGCTCTTCTTCTGACATCCTTCTTTTTGTTAAAATATCTAAAAAAAACTGCCAAATGACCTGGGCCATACTGTGCTTTTCTTCTCATAAAGAGAGGATAACATCATGCTGTATATTTTTACCGGCTGCAGATGTATTGCCGATGTTTCACGAGTACAAACAAGAGTGCTTTAGCTTGGTATCGGCCCAATACCTGATAGTGATATTGGTATCAGTACATCTTTAAACTCTTGATTCTCAAGTTGCTAGTAACCTCCCCTCCAAAGAAATTTTGGATTGTGGGCAAAACCTCAATACTACTCTCTGTTAGGAGTGAAACCGTGCCCAGCATGACCTGTGACACAAAGGGCTGAAAAAATGACTGATGTTGGAATACAAAGAGCGCTGGCAGGTGTATTTCTGTTCTGACATGTTTGTGTTTATGTGGGAGGGAGCTTGTTAATGAAAGCAGGGGAATCTGTTGATTTGAGTATATCAGATTTAGGAAGGCTCCGTTCCCCGGACGCTTCAGGGGCCCGGACGTGTCTGTGGGCCGGCCTGCCTGGAAGAGCTGTAAACACTATAAAGCCGTTTTCACACTCCGGATAATATCTAGATATTTACAGGGGGACTTCTCCGGAGATTCTCCCGACCTAGCCGTTCACACATGCTCCTCACAGCGGGGGGGACTTTCCCTGTCAGAGGGGAGGGGGGGTCGGGGGGATTACCTGAAGGAAGACGTGACATAAATAAACAACGCGGAAGTAGCGGCCGAGGCAACAGAGTCCGCTACACGACGCTATAATGAGAATATTTGCCTTTATATCAATGCTATGTGTAATCCAATGGAATGACAACATCCACAAAAGAGAGCAGAACAACATACTGACCAACAGAAAACAGAATGCAGCCGTTTAATAACGTGCACGGAGATCGTAGCGGTCGCGTGCAGACACTTTAGCCGGTCACTATTTAAACGTCATTCTCTTTTCATTGGCTGAAATTGAAATCTCCGGAGTATATGCGGCCACGTTCAGACATCAGCTCACTTGGATTTTCTGTGGATAAAATACGAGGGGTCTGGCCAGAGAAACTCCGGGTAAAGTCCACGCGAAAAATGCATCTGTTTGCGTTCACACATAGCCTGAAGAACCTCCAGGTAGCCAAATCTCCGGAGTTTTTCAGGAGATTTCTGTATGTGTGAAAAGGGTTTAAGAAGGAACTACACCCCCGATACTTCTCCTTCTGTTTGCAAAGTTGTAGTGTTACTTTGACTCAGTTACAACACCTAAATACTTCCGTCATAGATGATCTCATCAAATGTGTGAAGACATTCACCACATCAGACGTTATTAAAATATTAACCGATTAAAATGGTGTCGTGGTGTGCAGAGAGGAACCAATCTGGGCTAATCGTGTTAAAGAATAAAACCACACAAACTTTAATTCTCTATCTTCTTCGTTAAGCTGGTATTTCTCCAAATAACACAATCAAAAACAAATCAATACAAGCTACAATCTTGTTGTCAATGTGTTTTGGATCCTGTAGCGAACTCCGCCCTCCTATAAATAAGCACATGGATCATTACAGCGTCATCCTGTGGACTCTGGATGCAGCTGATGTTGTTTCTTGGCCCACAAGGATCATGTTGATAACCAGAGGAAAGCACTCAAAACCGCAGTACAACAGTAATACAACCACCTGCTCAATCTGTCTGACTCCATCTGCCTCAGCGTGGCTCTGCAAACAACACGGTGTTTTTAAAAAAAAGTCGACATGCAAAACGCAGCCAGGGCGCCAGCTAACAGTCTGATGCTAATTAACAGTTCTTGGTTTGTTTATTAATAATTGATCTCGTACTTCTTTTATCTGATCAAATGCAGCTTGAGTGTCTGCTGAGTCGACGCTGAAAACAATGTGAGATCTGGCATGCACGCCGGCTCTCGGTGTAATGGGATCAGATGAATAAATAGTGTGTGCGATACGAGCTGAATAAACAGTACACATTTAGACGGGTTTGTGCTGATAAACATGCAGACAAGAAAGGGAGGGGGCAGGTGTGAGTGTGACTTTGGGAGGGAAGAGAGTGAGAGAGGAAAAGGAGTCTTATTAACAGATTTTTTTTTTTTCTCCCCATTTGGCGTCAAGAAATTAAAGCCCGGAGGAATTTCTGGGTTTTATTGTGTATATTCTGTGTCGTCTGATTCTAATTTTACAAACATAAAAACACTTAATGATTGTCTTTTACGGTTCAAGCTGTACAGTAACTGATAATTGCCTCAACACTAATGAATGGTGTAACCTTAACCAAGTTAATTTATAAAAGTAGTAGTGTACTTAAAGCTCCTGTGTGGGACTTTCAGTGTGTGCTGATTTTGGCGCCCCCCTGTGGACAAAGGGATACCTCTTATCTCTTTGCTGATTATGTCTTTTACATGTATCTAGGTTGTGTTTTCTTACAAAAAACAATTCTCCTCCTGGTTTCTTTTAACCATCAAATGTATCACTCACTGTGAAACATATGATGTTTCCTCATGTTAATGGTTTAGTCTGACACCGACCTGTTGCAGTGATTACAGGCACTGAATATAGATATATATAAATAATAGATCTTGAGTCTGATGGTTTTATTTGCTTTTGTAGGTTATAAAGAGGCGTCAGTATTCATTTCGGTCTGTTTTATAACCAGCTAAAAACTCCTCACTGGAGCTTTAAGTTGCATGTTCGTCTTTATGTTGCATTGAGAAAAAGTCAAAATGTCTAGTAGACTCTGGAGCTTTCGTTTCGTGTTTTTACGTTGTGTCTTGCCTCCTGAAACTCCACTGCCATACCTCCCGTCAAGAAGTATGAAGATTTCTGGGTCAGTCTATTCCTAAAGAATGTTTTATTTAAGATTTATGTTTGTGTTTTTGGCCTTTATTGGACAGGAGAGTGGATAGGAAACCAGAGAGAGAGAGAGTGGGGAATGATAGGTGGGAAAGCAGCCACAGGCCAGACAGGTACCCGGGCCCGCTGCTTAGAGGAGTATATCCTCCATACAAGACCTAACCGCTAGCCAATCTGCACCTCAGTCAACCGGAATTTTTTTTAGAAATTCTCAAGAGTTCACATGTGAAAACAGCTCAGCCTATTACTGTCAGCCGGCTTGTAGCTCCTGTGAGTTCTGTAGAAGTCGTGTAAATAGAAAGTTAAATTGGATTCAAATTTATAACACACCGCCCTGGTTCCAGGATGATTCATCAACAAGTTTTATGTGTTATCAGGAAATGACTTTTTTTTTTTTCAAAATGTGTCAGTTATGAGCTTAAAGCAGAGTACAGGTGGCAAAAAGTGCAAGAAATGTGTCATTAAAAATCAGTTTTGACTTCATGAGAGCTGAAAGGGGCATATTCATTGTGAACCTTTTTCTACAAAGGAGTATTTATGTTTGAATTAATTGTTTCTTTTAAGGCAAACAATCTAAATTCAAGAGTAGAAAAGTCACTTTCGATGTTTGTGTTGGAATGACTAATGTGAGACATGCAGCAACATTTTCTTCTGATTCATACAGCAGGAAGATGCACAGCCTCGGGTTGCCTGCAGGCTGTGCATCACTCTGCTCCTGTTCCTCACACTACCAAAGTTTTCAGGTTAGGGAGGAGAACAACTCTGACCGCCGCCGCCACCGCCGTGTTTCTGTATCAAGACAGGAAATCGCTGTCTTTGTCGCTCAGATCCCGTATCCATATTTTATGAGCATGTGGACCCTAATTATGTTCCCAGTCTGCACACTCACACTGATTCCTGTTAGCAGCCCACCTCCACCACATCTGTATCAACTCCCACTGTGTGTGTGTGTGTGTGTGTGTGTGTGTGTGTGTGTGTGTGTGTGTGTGTGTGTGTGTGTGTGTGTGTGTGTGTGTGTGTGTGTGTGTGTGTGTGTGTCTCTTCCAACAGCTATGAGAGGAAGCTTCTGAAATCTTCTCCCCTGGCTTTGCTCTTGAAATATACAAACCCCACACACTCGGTTAATCAAAAGTGAAAAGCCATTAGACGAGATATAGAATATGCTCCTCTTCACAATTTGCTCTGCAGATTGGTTGGTCAGTTTTTTTTTTTTGCACTGCAGGATTAGTGACACACTGCCCCCTGCTGGCAGAGCGCAAGAATATCCGTCTGTCTGTTTTTTACAGCCATCATTACATCCATCAGTATAAAAAAGAGCAAAATGGCGGCATTTAAAGGCTCTCCCTTAAAGACATTTCAGGTCAGCCTCCTCTTAATTGGCCTGTTAAAGTTTAATTTATGAAAATGAGAGGCTCTGACATTAACTCTACTTCTGCAGACTTCCTGCTTCCTCTTTCTGTGTGCTACTTCCCTCTTGTGGTGGGGGAAGGTGTTGGGTTTATTTTCACACCACAGCTTCAAATTCACTGCAGAAATACTGTCTGCTCATTCATCGGGCTCCATGCGGAAGAATGCTTTTTTTTTATTAATCTCAACATAGATATTAAACTTAATATTTCACCTACAAAATCCAATTACTTCCTTGTCAGACTTACCTGATCTTAACTTGTATTCGCAATTGAGTTGCCTTTTCAACCCACTATTTCCTTGTATTCATGAGAACCAGGGAAGCTCAATCTGTGGTCACTGATAACCACCGTTTATGTAGACACTTTGTAAAGTGTCATCTTGTCATATATCTACATTTGAGTCATCTTTATCACAAGGTCTAACATTTTGACTCATACTCTTAATTTCAAATGAATCATTTTGGTAAGATGAAAAGCTTTAAAGATCTAATATGTGACATTTTAAACATGAATATAGCGAGTATCAAATATACCCTAACTCTTCTCCATATAGGCGAGTGATGCCTCTCTAAAAAAAGAGTGATGTAAAACTCCTTCTGCTTCATTCAGCTCGTTAATGTTTTCCTCAGAGCAGGGGCGTGTTCAGAGGCCAGAGGTGACAAGAGCCCCCCCCCCCCCCCAGAAATCTGATTGGCCACCTCAAAAAATGGTCATTTGCCCTGTCAGAGGTAGGATTTTTGTATTAAAAAGCAACTATTAGATATTTTTTAAGAGGCTGCTAGTTGCTTTCTTTACTTACCAGTAAAGCATACTTTCTTCTGTTTGTACTTTTTTTCCTGTCTGCCCTTTAGTAAAATTACTGCAAGAAGTCGGGGTGAGTCAATGTGTGAACACAGCAGGTAAATAGTCAGGAAAATGTAAAGTGAGATTTATACTGAAAGTATGTCCTATTACTGTCCAACAGGGAAAATCTCCCACTGTGAGGGACATGTGTGAAAGGGGAACTCTGGAATGTCAGAGGGCTTTCCGAATTTTTTTTTGTAAAATGTCAGGACTGTGTGTGTGACAGGAGGTGAGAGGAGCACATTACATTGTGGAGTCTACTCACTGAAGTTGTGTGCGATCTTCTCATTGAGGATGATGTGCTGCGTGTTGCTCGGCTCACACACGCTAAAGGACCCCAGATCTTTAACGCCAAATTGCTCCAATAAGCGCGGCGAGTCTATTTCAATCCTCCCGGTGCGTTCTTGTGCCCAAAATGATTTTGCAATCTGCAAGGAAACAAATTAGATTAGAATCTCAGAGAAGTCCATATTAAGTGGAAATCAATGTTTTGCATTTGAAGAAGAGAGCAGCACTGGGGACAGACACAAAGAATAATACATCACAATGATGATGTAGGAATAATGAAGTGAAACCAAGCTGAAACTGACCTTTCTGTTTGCTTCTTTTTTTTCTGAATAATTCTCTAATGAAAACCTTTTTGTGAGATTTATACTAAAAACATTTTCTTTCTGATAAATGAGGTTTTTAACTGAAAAGTGACTGTGTTACCTTCTCGGAGCTGACCAGGTCCCAGTGGAAGGCCTTGGTTTGAGGTTTTTTTAAATCTATCTTGAATTTAAAGGGTAGAGGAGGGGGCGCGGGGATGAAAGGAGGTGGAGGGCGTTCCACAACTTTGTAGATTGGTTCAGGAGTCTCGGGGAGTGTGGGGGCGGTTGGAATGGGCGACGGTAGAGGGGAGGTGGGTGAAGATAAGGCGATGACACTGGGAGAGGTCGGACGTGGCACAGGAGGTGAATTTCCAGGCTCTATAACTTGAGCTGGAGTCTTTTTTTGGCTGCGAGGTTTAGCGACCGGCTTTGTATAATCAGCTGAGGGATGGATTTGACTGGTGTCCCCCGGTGATAAATGATCCCAAGCACTTGAAGGAGAATCTGCATTTTTATAATCCGGAGGAGAAGGGAAACTGGCGCTTCTTCCTCCACTTGACTCGAGCTCCGTCTCTGTCTCTGTGTCCTCGTCATCTTCGGCTATGCTGATATGTCGTATAATCTGTTTTTCCACAAACATGTGTTCACCCATGGACTTCCTCTTCCAGTCTTTGCAGAGTTTGTCGATGGCCTGGACCCAAGCATCTCGCTCCCTCTGGGAACCACCGTGGGCCGATGGTTGATCTGGTGCAGGAACCTTGAACCTGCAATAAAGCTCACCATATTTAACTTCCCTTAAAGGCTGAGATAAGCCTGCTAGTTAACACACTGGGTCTGTATTTATGATGTCATCACTGAAAAGATGCATGAAAACACACGTTTCACAGAAGAGGCAGCTGGTTTACTCTTAAATCAGTCTGAAAAAGAATCACTCACTGGTACTCGTTTTTGTGCGTGATAAGCGTGAAGGTGTCGGGGCAGGGCGGTTTCTGCACGCTCGTGTCGCCGTCTGACAGGTGGATCACAGTCGACTGCTGCGTCCATGATGTCGCATCACCTTCAGCAGGGACTCTGTGCTTTAAGGGGACCAGAACTAACTGACCGGGATGGAGCTGGACCTCATATCTGGAGAAGGAGAAGAAGAAGAGGATTCATGTGTCATATGCAGCACCAACAACTGGAGCCGAGCTGTGATGTCATGATTACAGACAACACTCCAGTGGACGATAACACAGTGATTGACTTGAGATATTTCTGCAGTTAGTACACTTGGAACTGAGTGTCTGGCTTTTTTTCAGTCCATCGATCGAACAACTTTGGGGGAAATTGATTTGGAGCAGCGTGAACATAAAAACAAAAAGTTCAAACAACAATAAAGACAAGAAAATGTAATTCTACACGACAGCTTAAAAGCTGTTTTCACAGAGAATTTCAGGAGCACCGCCCCTGATATCCTCCTGATCCAGTTGTTCACTTTTGCAGCTCCCTTCTTTATGTTACCTCCTGTGTGCTCCTGCTGCAAAAAAAAAAAGTCCCCTTGTGGGTCCGTAAAAAGAGAATCTGAATCTAAATCTAACAATCCTCCTGTTCACCAAAATCAAATGATTTCAAACCACTGTTGGCTGACAGTGTGGATACATTTTATTCAGCTAGGTTATGATGACACAATAGGACATCATATGAAATATTTTGAATAAAGTGAAAGTTAGGCTCATTTATAACATTTTGAAAAGTGCCTCATATCCTTTGTGCCAGTGTATAAACTAAAGGTGGAAGTGGGTCTAAACATTTAAGGGCCAAAAATAAGATGACACATCCGTACTTCACCCATCTGAACGATGCCAGGCCGCCTCTGTGCAGTAACAAGACGCCTTCCCGAAGGCTCTGGGACACTTGAGGCTGCTGACTTTTTTCTGCATTGCCCTCCTTTGAGTCGCTGTATATGTTCCCATAAATGATTTTATTCACCAGCTCCATCATCTGCTCAACACAGAATCAAACCAGCATTCAAAAAAAAAAAAAAAGACTCAATGGAAGCATCAAGAACAACCAGTTACAAAGATGACATCAATCAGTTCTTCATTCCTGTTAGCATATCATATTCACCTTGTATTTGTCTTCCATCGAATTAGCCTCCAGTTCATAATCGTGATGTTCTTTAAAGGAAACGCAGAACCTGGTGCCGGCTCCATCTTCACAGCTCTTCACGTTGGAGAAGAGGAGTTGTCGCTTGATGATGCCTTTCTCTATGCTGCACAGCATTTTGGTCTTGAAATCAATCTGCAGGGCCATAAAACGAGGGTCTGAATTATTCAAAACCAAAGATATATTTATTTAAAGCAGTTTAAACAATCATATTTGAATATTTTTTCCTTATTCTATCATTTTTAGCCACACTGATCTAAGCAGAACTATCTCAAAATCTTTAATTCAGATTCTCATGGTCCATAGGAGGTGAATCCTGATGGTAACCTTGAAATCAATCAGTGGGGAAAGTTGGTATTCCAACAGATGACCCCAATCAGTTTATTTTGGATTTAATACCTTATCAGATTTTAGTTTAAATCATGCTTATTTATAGCAACATTTAGCACAAATTAGGTAATACTAGCATTGCTAGGATAAGATGTTAAACATAACACCTTAACTTCATGTTAGTATTGCTAATTGTATTGAAGATGTTAGCATGTTGAACGTCAAGAAGTTCTGCCTTACAGAGCTGATAGCATGGCTCGGCTACACATAAACATCAGGGGGGTTTGTGATTTCTTAATCTCACCTGAAGAACTCGCTTCTGCCACCTGTAGCGGCCATGTTTGTGAACACTGAAGTTGTACTGGGAGGATTCTTGTTCCTGTAAGGGAAAACACCTCTTCAGAAATTCTTAGGAATTCTTTTGTCCTTTGTTTTGTTTCTTTGATAAGGTCAATGAAAGCTGCCCTTTGTCATCATGAAAAACAAAAAGGCCTGACAGACAAATCAAACAAGTCAAACACAGATTTTCTCTTAAACCAATCCAGCAGGCTGAGCAGCTTATTATAACACAACAGTGTTTGAGAAGCTGAGGACTCCCAAGTAGGTCACAACTCTTTGCTTTACAAGACAGGTTTCTTTCAGATGAAAACAGATTATGTTTTTAAAATGATTCAATGCAACAGCTGCAGAGAATCAGCTAGAATCTGGGGGAAATATGTAGCTAGCACATACTTTTCAAAGTACAAACAGATCCTAAACTCACACAATGTTTTTAATTGTCTCCAATAAGCTTGGAAACCAAATCTGCTGATTTCAATATTTTTACTTAAACCTGCAATAAGCGTTTCAGGTCAGTTCATCTTTATGGTCTTCAGATGGTCATGGGACAAATATTCACTCTCTATTTGGTCTCAACCAACTCCTCAGGGAAGTATATGGTTCCTTAGCTGCTAAAACCATCCCCAGATAGTTTTTAACTTTATAAAGGGGTTGTATCGTCTTTGTTCAATCCGTACATTTACAGAAATTCAGGGCTTCAGGAGAAGTTACCGTTTGTTGGAGAACAACATCCAGGCAACACAACTGGTTTGGACTCTTAAACTGATACTCTGATAAACAGCGGAGGTACTGGCTTGAGAGATAAACAAGCAAGGGTTGTTTATCATCGTGGCTGTAATCTACATCTTGTTCAAGCAAGGGCCGATTGAAAGATTGTTTGGATGCTACAGCTGCACATAGCTCCAAAGAGCTGGAAGCATTTGTAGCTGATATGGGACCATAAAAAAGCAACAATACACTCCTTAAATCTCCATTATATGCTAAATGTTAGACTGATGTGCAGCCACTATATAATTAGGAAGTTTGACATTGAATGTTACACCTCTTCAGCCTGGCTCTTCTGTTTGAGCAGCTTCTTCCTGCCCTCCCTGGCCTGGTTCAGAGCATCGTCGATGGACAGCTCTCCACTCTTCACCTTGTTCATGATGCTCAGCTGCATCTCATTGCTCAACTGAAACAAACAAATCACCCATTGTAATGTGTATTTTATTTCTAGGTTACACACATTTGTTGTATCCTGTAGAGAATTAATGGTTTGTACCTTTCTGCATTGATTACTAATGCAGAATCATTTGAAACCAAACGTGAGGTTTAAAATGATACTGTAATGCTTTTCTGTCAGGTGTGCATGACTTCTGATAAAAGACAGAATTAATCAGCTTCAGTTCACTGGAATCCCAAAGAGGAAGCACTAACTTCAATCAGCATCTAGTACAGGAATGCTATGTGCCCATAATCAGTCATTGTCTGTCATGTTTCTGTGTAGTTGTGGGGAAACAGCAGCCGGGAAATCAGGCTGAATTGAGGAAGTAAGACACACATGAGAGACGATACATAGAATCACAAACCCGTCTCTTCTCACTGCACATTCTGACGTTAATGAAAGCGGGGGAGTGTTTATTCTGGAGCTAAATAAAGTCAAGCTGTTAAGTGACTCTGGCATCTGCAGAAGAATGCATTTCACACCCTTCACACACATTTAAAAGTGGTGCTGTTTAAAGAACTTACTAGTTGAATGTATGTCCAGTCTAAATGTATAAATGAATATCTTACCTGTGGCAAGTCGTCACTGTTTGTATCCACTTTAGGTAGATTGTCCCCCTTCCTTGTTCTTAAACTCGACATCATGTCTGTTTAGAAGTCACACAAATATTCAAGCAAATACCCAGACAGTACTGGTTCTTTTTTTTTTTTTTAAAGAGCAAAGACATGAAAGATTGTTGTTGTTTTCTTGTTTTGTTCTAACCTGAGATTTGCTTCTTTCACCTGGGGAGAAGAAAACCTTTCTGTGATTTGTGTCACACTTTCTACCACCGCCCTCTTCCACATCCACCTCCACCTCCAGCTCCAGCTCCGGTTACACTTCACTTAGATGCAGGTAAATCAGGCTGTGTGAGTTCAGCCACGCCCACAGAAACACACAGACTCCCCCGGCTACAAAACAGAGCAACTCATTCTTTCAGTCCAATTACATGTCTGGACCCGCAGGACAATGTGCTGTATACCTGCAGCTCACCTGGTTTTCTTTTTCAGCCAGGAGAGAGTGCTAAGAGACACGTTCATCTTCCCAACACTCAGAAAAATATAAATATCATTAACCCATAAGGCATTGCAACATATTTTTTAAAGGTGTTCCCATGACAGCTTTGGTTGAATCCTAATATAGCCATACAAAGACAGAAAGCAGCTTTCTATGTGTAACAAACAAAAGGTTTAAAGCCTTATTATTATATTTTTACTCCCAACAATTATTGACTACATGCCTGTTCTTCATTCTGCCTTTGGACAATACTCTGAGAATTAATCAACACCTAAAAATGTAATGTATTGTTTTTTAAATGTCCATTGAATCAGTTTTCGTAAGAAAGACAAATGATTCATATTAGATTAAAATTTTGTTTTTTTTTACTTCTTGTTTCAGTCTACTAATAATTAAATGATATTGATATCTATGGGCTTGGGAGGTGTCTTTGTTATATGAACAAAATGTGTCCTAATTTAAAGGTTAGAACATGAAAAGACCTCTGTATTTGAAATGTATTGGACTTTCCAGTCCACTCCAACAAAGGTGAGAGAAATGAGGTGCGCATGCTTTTTTGGCAGCACCCGGTAGACCATCTGTGTCGTAATTGCAGGAATACAGGTGCAAACATAACTGGAAGAAGGCTCAATGAATCATGTTTTAGACATCTTCATTAGCGCACTGAGCTGCATGTCAAAGTTTTACTGTTACACAACAGAGCGGCACTTTCATACAGCTACACAGTGACAGGGGGGGGAAATCCCTTCATGAACAAGTGATGGGGAATCCCTTCATCTGGTGGGATTTTATGTTCAGGTGTGGCTGAGAATAGATGAAACATTTGTACAGTTTTATAAATTTCCCTAAAAGCCGTACAGTTTGTGAATTTTACTTTCAGGCTTATTTGAGCATAGCGTTAGTTCAGGCAGGATAAGGAGTCATTCTCTGCTATCATGTCATTGTTTTTGATAACAGCTGTTCCATGCGAGCCATATCATCAGCTGATGGCCAGCTGATTTGCTTCAAAGCATTCTATTTGCTTATTGCACTCATGCCGCCTTATTTAAACTGCTCTAACCTGCCTATACTCTTCACTGTTCCCTCGGCTAGCCTCATGTGCAACCCTCCTCCACCCCAGCTCCTCCTTTTATGCTGTGTCTCACTTTATCCTTGCCATGCTGCTGTCATTGATGCGTGCTCTGTTTGGGGTTTTTTGCCACTTCTCTAGGCTTTCCTTGTATACTGGAAGGTCAGGAATGTGTGCTGTTCCTATCTAGTGCTTTTCAATTTAGTATGTGGGAGATTCCTAAACAGAAGCACACCACTAAATGTAAATAATTGCAAATAAAAGTATTTTTCTTGACAAAGCGGTCCTGATTGAAGTGTATAGATCGTTTTCCTCTGTGGATAAAGCATGAACATTGGAACATTGAAGCTTTGTAAATGCTTATTATCTTTTCTAAAGGCTTTATATGTGATTTTTTGATCCAGCAGATGTCGCCCTTGAGCACCAGCATGAAACCAAATGAGCGTGATGTAGAAACACAGTTAAGCAGTGAGTACAGTATGTTATTCTTCTTTTCTCTAGTCCCTCAATTAAACAACTTTTATACACGAGGGGAGGAGTCAGCCGGCCGTCCCGGCGATGTAAACAAAGTGAAGATAGGACTCTGAAAACATCACAGACAGTGGGACTCGGGTGTTACACCCATTGTAGACAGTCATGACTCACAGAGTTATTTTCAGAGGATATACTTGATTTATATTATATTTAAGTGTAAAAAATCACATACAAAGACTTTAATTTGTAACTCTGTAATCAACAATGTCGTGAAAGTACTGTGTACAAGTAAATTGCGACTTTGTATCTGCATTTATTTGCAGCTAAAATAAAGTTTAAAAAAAACTCCACCTTGACCAACTGCAGCTGGAACACTATCTTCACAAATTCATGAGCCAGCCATAATATTATAATACACTTATATAATGTACAGTGATGTCACACTGATCACCATAAGTAGTACTTTCATTCAGGGTACTTGCAAAAGTTCTCTGTCACAGAAGTTTACATTTAAAAATAATGTGTAATGTGCTTTTTTTTTCACTTAAATGTGATGCTCTGTTGTGTTTTTCTAAAGTATTTTAACCTTAATAACCATTTTCTCTTTCGCTTTTCAATGTGACATTACAGTAATCCTCCAGATTATTAAAGTTTAAAATGTAATTTTAGATACAAGACGTTTCTACTTTAAGTCAAGTAAAAGCTCTGAGTACTCCAAACCCGAGTTGAACATGAGTTCTGTATATTTTAGGAACCATGCAGAGACACGGTTCAGAAATGAATTTACAGGAAATGGTCAAGAGCAGAGTAAGAAAGTCGTTGTTGGAAACCCCCCTCACAGCTCCGCCCCCCTCCGCCCTGAGTGTGCAGCTGCAGTAAAGGAGCAGCGCAGAGATCAGATCAGTCAAAACAAACTGACTGTGTGGAAGCGTGCAGACTCACAATGGAGGGACTACAAACGAAGATGCAGCTTTTACTCATTTGCACTTTTCTGGTGAGTAAGATCATATATCATATATATCCTACATTTTGTGATGAAATCGGATTCATTTTGTGGGATGGGCGTTGCAGTAAGCTGGTGGTTAAATCGCTGTTTTAACACTAATGCAGCGATGTGTTTCTCTGTCTTTTCTAATTTGATGTTTTTTATTTCATTTAATCACGAATTGTTCAAGTGTACGGTTGTATTCGGTATTTTATGTTATTGAGAAGTAGGCCCTATGACTCGTCTTTACAAAGTTACTTTCACTTTCGTTTTGACTGTGTAAAAGAAAGCACCTGACTGTGACAGATCCTGAAAATAATGAAGTTAAGAGCAAAACAAAAAGTCAGAGAGAGACTGAATTATAATCCACCACCAAATGCAAATAACAAGTCAGAGAAATACAGAATCAAATGCACCAGCTTGTTTGTCTTGTTTTTTTTTTTTCAGAGTTGCATTAGTGTTGAATGTTTGGGACTTTCCGTCACAGCCCTTACTGCACCAACAGTTTTAACGACAGAGAAACCAAACCCCTCAACCACAGCTGCTACTGATGAGACAAGGACAAACCTACATCTCTTTTAATATATCACACTGTTGTTGTTGTTTTTGCAGGTGATTACCGCTGGTCAGCCTCACTGTAACCCAGAAAATCAGTACGAGAAGGATGGACAGTGCTGCAAGATGTGTGTTCCAGGTATGAAAACACCTCTGCTGGCTTTGTTGCATTGTTTAAAAAGAACCAGATACAACTTTGAACAAGGAATATAGATCACCATCAATACATGTACAAAACTACTTTACTTTGACTTTCTCGTTTCCATCTTATCCGCCATTGGATTCTCTTTCTCCAATCCATAATGTATATACTTTAATTGAAAACTTTCACTGCACCTAATGCCTTAATTCCCCGCGTATTTAACTTCACCATTCATATTGTACTTCATATCCCCTATTTTTATTTATATTTTTATCTAATCTATTCTGTTTAAATTTGTATTTTGAATGACCTTCTTTACTTGTCTGTGCTGCTGCAACGCCTGAATTTCCCCTCTGGGGATCAATAAAGTATTATCCTATCCTATCCTAATACAAGAGTTTGTTAGTACTTAATCTGTAATGAAAATAATATTTGGGCAGTGCTACAACCAAGAGATGGTGAGCTTAGTCACATCTTCTTTCCAAAAAACATTCCTGTTTACAACCTCAATTTGAAATAGGGAACCATCCTTTTTTTTCTTTTTTTTTTAATTAAGATGAATTAGAGCTGCTGTTAAATGCAGTTTCTCAACTAACTAACCCAGACTTGCTGTTTTCCCTGGTTTCCAGAATTAATGCTAAGCTAGGCTAACCGTCTCCTTGATGTAGCTTTTTATTTAACAGACAGGTGTCAGAGTGGTGTCATCTAATTCTTGGAAGAAAGCAAAAACTTACATATTACCCAGAAGTCAAACTATTCCTTAAAGGCACAGGACCCTATTTACTACATACAAAAAAAAAAACATCATAATTGTGCTTTTTTTTTTTACATTACGCAACACTTTGTTTTTTTTGTTTTTTTACAGGAACCAGAATGTCCTCGATTGGTACTGGTACTTGTGATGAACCTCAGTGTGTCGACTGCGGGGAAAATGAATATCAGGACGCATACACAATTGAACGTAATTGTCAACGTCAACCGTTCTGTGACCCAAGTAAGATCTCGTGAGAAATCAAACAAAACAATTCTTGTTCGTCACATTGTTATACTTCTGTTTAAGGTAGCATGCCATATAACTCGCGTGTATTCCTCTTCCAGATAAAAACTTTAAGCACATCGTCCACGAGAACAAGAAGAAAAAAACCATCTGTATGTGTGAACAGGGATTCCACTGCTCCAGTAAGGAATGCATCACCTGTGTGCCGCACACCGTCTGTCCACCAGGAGAAGGGGCCAAACTTAAAGGTGTGACTTGACTTTTTTTTTATCCAGTACATCCTTTTATTTGAACCTTCCAATCTCAGTATTACCCAATCTCGTTTATTCAATGTGTTCAGTCTTTTTTTGGTGTATTTTTTTTAGGGAGTCATACACATGACACCGTGTGTGAAACATGCCCTGTTGGCACATTTTCCAGTGAGAGTTCGTGGGACAGTGTCTGCCAGAAATGGACAGAGTAAGTAAAACATTTACATCACACTGAAGTGGCAGCATGTTGTAAACAGACCAACAA